CCAGTAGCAATATCCACCTTGAAAGGATGGAAGGCTGAGTCAACCTTGAGCCTAGTGAGATTCGAACGGCCAAACGTAACTCTAAATGGAGCGGTCATTTACAAAGAAAGCAAGAAACAAATTAGTGGGCCTATCAGGATATTTTAGGATGCAGAAGTAATCATTTCTGTGTGTGCAAAACGTAAAGTTTGACCATGTAAGGCAAAAGCTTACATCGAACCATATTTATAAGTCCTGCAACAATCCCATGGAATCTGCTCCTGCAGGAGAGATCCAGCGATTGTTGCCGAATGAACTTTTGTCTTTTACCATTTTGGCCCCCTCTAAACTTTGGAACTGCAGAACTGTTATTCTCTATTACTGTTAATAAAATGAGCACTGATAACTTGGGTAAATTTCTCAGGTTTGCATCCAGTAGTTATAAATGACTTTACTGCCCTGCTGCAGATTGTAATGTCTTCGGTTACTAAAACTTCACATTCTAAAATGAGCTATTATTGAACATGTTAAGACAATGACAGCGATTGGCAAGATGGTAGGGAAAAAAGCTGAGCTTATAATCCTCACAATAATTTCTTTAAAAAAATAAGTAATTTGGATACCTTTTGAAGATGATTCCCCAGAAGCTATGGATTTAGTATTTCCTGGCTTTGCCAGACGTGAAGCTAACTCAGACTTTTGTACTGCACCAATGTAGTTATCATACAAGGCCTTTCCATACTGAAAAATAAGTACCACAAATATCTGACAGATTTTTCATCATAAAAAAAATGAACATGCATTTCTCTGCTTGTTCCATCAATTCTTAACAGAAATCCTTCTTCAGTGGTTCATTTGAAATCCCTTCCATAAAAACGATGAACTACTAAACAGGACTGTAAACTAATAGGTTGAAAGCCTGTTATTTGTTTGACAAAGTAATTTATTTTCCCAATACAAATTCTCTTCTACATACTCTATGGTCACGTTTATTCACTAGAGTTTTATCACTCACAAGAGGATAATGCATTTTTGATTTTCATCATTCCATTTACTTTCTCCTTTATTACTGAGAAATATCTCTTTTTTTCTTACCTTTGCAATTCTGATACCAGTTACCCAATGATGTAGAGCCTGCTTGTCATCACAGCACAGGTATTTGATGTACTGTGACTCCTTCTGTATTTGAGGATGCTATAAATAATAATAGCAATAGTATTTTTTTAATCATTAAAAATCTGTTGAAATAACCCAAGTAGACAAACCAACTTTCCAACAAGGTTTCTCGTCTATCACTACATCTTGGCTACTTCAAACCACAAACCACTGAGAAGAAAGCAGTATTTTTCATCAGTCCTTCCAAAAGATTAATGGTACACAACTGGGAATTACATGATTGTAATTGGTATCTAAAAATATAGTCAAACTTGGCATTTTAAAAAATTCTTCACTTTCCATCTCTTCTTTTTTCTCATAGTCATTATAGACTGCAAATCTTCAAGCAAGGGCTATCTTTATTTTTAACTGATTACAAAGGAATTGGGATAAATGTGCTTTAAATAATGAAATGTCAAATTAACAGGAAACTAATTGGATGTGCATTTGTAAATAAATCATACAAGGCCATATTTCAGAACCTCACAGATTATAAATATTTATGCTCTCTTCAAAGGAAATTTGACTTGAAACAGCTTAGAATATTATTTAGCTAAACGTAATTGTAAGCACATCAGAATTCTGAAGTTAAAACATAATACTTGGAGAGTTATTAATTGTGATCTGGAAGCGATTAAAACAGGAAGACAAATTTACTATGTGCATTTTCCAAAAGCAAATAATTTCCCATCCTTTTCTGCTGATGTTTTTGCTCTCATTTTACATTTTCATCACCTTAGGATCACCTTAGGACAACACATACTCACATTTATTCAACACCATGAGTAAAATACTAGGTTTCATCAATCAAACTCCCAAGACTAATTTACATGTCAAATTAATTCTATGTGATTATTTACAAATATCAACAATGCAAAAGAGTCTGTAAATTTTCTTCCGACAACACTGGTCCAATCTACTGACTAAATAATCTGTAGCTAGAGTGTCCTACAAAAATAGCTAATAGTTTTGCAATGACATGGTAAATCCAGCAGATGGCATTAGATACTTTTCTATTTTTAAATGTTTACTTTTGCTGTTCTCATCTCTATATCACAATAAAAAATAGTTTTATTGCATCTTAAAGGCCAATATATTTATTGTGCATAATCTTTTGTGGAGTAGAATCAATTCATCATGAAATTAAACTTGCAGAAATATGTACATAAATATGCAAGCAGAAAATTATGCATTTTCTAATAGTTTATTTTTGTATATTTCATTTTCTGAATAATATTATTCTAGATTTTCTCAATAGCTTCAAGCATCTTTTATTTTTTTTAAAAAAATAAAGATAAACTATTTATTTTCTATCACTCAAACCCATCTCAAGAAGAATTTTCTCTCTCTCTCAGAAAAAATGTCTTGAGCGGCAAGGTCTGACATGATTTTGTTAAATAAACTTGATTCTCACATACCACAATTCAACATGGTACAGGGTTACAGAGCCTTAAATGCTCCAATAAATTCATTTTGTGCATTTCACCTTCAAAATACTTTTAATTTGTGACATGATAGGAAGGGAGAACTATTTCAGAAATTCAAAATGGAACTGTATATAAATTATCTTAATCATAGTTTGTCATAAGTTGGGGTGGTACACTGGACAAAATCTTGGGCAGCTACCCAAAATAGTTGGCAAATGCCATCTCAGAGGTTTTTTTTTTTAAGTAAAGGATATTGCAAAATTTCCATTCCCACCCCACTCGCGGGCCAGTCAGAGGTGGTATTTGCTGGTTCTCCAAACTACTCAAAATTTCTGCTACTGATTGTCCAGAACCTGCTCAATTTCACCCGTTTTTATGATGTTTTTATATTCTTGTAAGCAGCCTTGAGTCGCCATGTGCGAATAGGCGGAAATAAAAATCTCCTAAATAAATAAAATAAATGTCACTCCTAGTCCTTCTTTTCACTAGACTAGATATATCTATTTCCTGCAAACGTTCTTCATATGTTTTAGCCTTCAGTCCCCTAATCATCTTTGTTGCTCTTCCCTGCACTCTTTCTAGAGTCTCCAAATCTTTTCTATATCGTGGAGCCAAAATTGGATGCAATATTCTAAGGGTGGTCCTACCAAGGCAACTTTTGAAGGAGCCAAGAGACAGATGCACTGTATTTAACCAGAATATCCATGATAGCTTGCCCCCAAGAGATGAGTTGCCACATGAGAATGGGTCAGCTGTATAATCCAAACACCACTATTATGCTTCTACACCATGCTTGAAGATGCTGTGATCTCCAAACATGTCAGATCCATTTCCTTATCACACTATTTTAGAAAGACCAGAAAGCGGCTGGAAGTACCTTTTAAAGGTGAAATGAATTTTAAAAAGGCATTTTAATAAAATCCATTTGTTTGACAACTGCTACCAGACTGATTTTTAACCACCATAGTCTTAACACCGTGATGACGAAACTATGGCACGAGTGCCAGAGATGGCACCCAGAACCTCTCTGCTGGTACGCCCACTGTCGCCCCAGGTCAGATCTCTGTGGTGTTTCTTTCGTGAGTTTCTGCTTCCTTGCAAATGGTGAAACAGAAGCTCATGAAAGAAAAAGATCTTACCTCTTGCTGCGCTGCCGGTGTTGGGATGCCCTGCCATCCGCCAGCCAGCTGGTCTTCGGGTAGCATCTGCATCTGCTGCACATGCACGGATGTCCGTGAATGTATGTGTGCACATACACACATGCATGCATTTGCACACATCTGGGCATGCAAGAGGTCACACATGTTCATGCGTGTGCACATTCACGCAAGCATGCACACCTTTCAGCTTGGGCATGCACGCCACACACACAGTTTGGGCATTCTGTGTCTAAAAGGTTCGCCATCACTGGTCTAACAGAAGGATCTTGATAGACTTGAACATTGGGCACTATCTAATAAAATGAAATTCAGTGGTGAAGAGAGTAAGGTTCTACATTTAGGCAACAAAAACGAAATGCACAGGTACAGTATAGGTACCTTGCTCAATAGTAGTAACTGTGAGAGGGATCTTGGCGTCCTAGTGGACAAACATTTAAATATGAGCCAGCAGTGTGCAGCAGCTGCCAAAAAAGCCAACACAGTTCTAGGCTACATAAACAGAGGGATAGAATCAAGATCACCTGAAGTGTTAATACCACTTTATAATGCCTTGGTAAAGCCACACTTGTAGTACTGCATCCAGTTTTGGTCGCCACGATGTAGAAAAGATGTGGAGACTCCAAAAAGAATGCAGAGAAGAGCAACAAAGATGATTAGGGGACTGAAGACTAAAACATATGAAGAAAGGTTGCAGGAACTAGGTATGTCCAGTTTAATGAAAAGAAGGACTAGGGGAGACATGATAGCAGTGTTCCAATATCTCAGGGATTGCCACAAAGAAGAGGGAATCAAACTATTCTCTAAGGCACCTGAGGGTAAAACAAAAAGCAATGAGTGGAAACTAATCAAAGAGAGAAGCATCTTGGAACTGAGGAGAAATTTCCTGACAGAACAATTAATCAGTGGAACAACTTGCCTCCAGAAGTTTTGAATGCTCCAAGGCTGGAAGTTTTTAAGATGTTGGATAATCATTTGTCTCAAGTGGTGTAGGGTTTCCTGCCTAAGCAGGGGGTTGGACTCCAAGGTCCCTTCCAACACGGTTATTCTATTCTATTCTATTCTATTCTATTCTATTCTATTCCATTCCATTTTCTATTCTATTCTATTCTATTCCATTTTATATTCTATTCTATTCTATTCTATTCTATTCTATTCTATTCCACTCCACTCTACTCCAGCATGGCTATCTTTTTATTATGCTATTTTAAAGGAGTCAGGCAAGGGAGTCACCAAAACAAATCCCAGATTCAGATGAATGATCTTTTCCATTTTATTTCAGGGAAAGCCGCAAATGCTATTAGTAAACAACAATGTTGCTACCCACACTGTTGTTAAAGGACACAGCCAACCCAATTTGAGAGAGAGCAAAATCTGAAAGAATTAGGAAAATGAACTGCATGGACTCTGAAGAGAAGCACTAAGCAATGGAAATGGGATAAGAGGACGCTATTGTGCCAGTTTGCTCCCAGGGTACCAATTCTTTCACCCTAGATTAATTCCACATTATGCACCATTACTCTCAGGTTACTCAAGCAAAACTTGTGCCAATAAAGCATAATTAAATTCTCCTGGTATCCAAGACACAACAGACTGACTAAATGAGCCAATTTACATATAGATTACCTTACTACCACCAGCTGTGAAGGTTTTTTTTTAAAAAAATAATAATAATAATAATCAGGAGCTATGTTCAAATTTTCTGAAGAAATGCTACATAACGTAGTGCCCGGAACCTGAATTTGACTAAAAGCAAATGCTGTTGACAAAATGTTGAGCAGTCTTTTCTGATTTATACCAGGATGGCAAACCAGAATTGGTTATTCATTAACACCAACAAAACGATGATGGCTGAAAACATGTTTTATATTTCAACAAAATTTATGCTTTTTAATTCACCAGATCTGACACTCTTAAATAGCTGGCAGGATTGAGCATTTCATCAGGCTGACCCCTTTCATTTGGCTACCCACAATATGGAAAAGATAACATATTTTTTGGAGTATAAGATGCACTTTTTCCCCTCAAAAAAGAGGGTGAAAATCTGGGTGCGTCTTATACACTGAACACAGCATTTTTGGCCTACTGAAACCCCGCCCCCTTTGTAAAAATGGATGTTCAGAGGGTTTGGGAGGCTTGCAAATTGCTCCTGAGGGCTGGGGAGGGCCATATTTTGCTTGTTCCTGCAGCACCTAGGAGCACTCTACAAGCCTCCCAAAGTTCTGCATGCCCCTTTATTTGGGGGGGGGGGGAAATGGCCCATTTTTGTGAAAAATGGCCCATTTTTTGCTTGTTTTTGCACCCCCAGGAGCACTCTACAAGCCCCCCAAAGTTATGCATGCCTCTCCTTTAAATTAAAAAAAAAAAAGAGGCGTGCACAGGGTTTGGGAAGCCTGCAAAGTGCAAAAACTTTTTGTTTTAATTTACCTCTTCAAAATCATGGTGCATCTTAATCTCCGGTGCGTCTTATAGTCCAAAAAATATGGTAGCTTTCTTTACTGAAAGCATTTTTAGCACCTTCCTGATAACTCCCAAGATAGGAAATGAAGCAAACCATAATATTATCAAAAGATGAATATAATTTCTGAAAACCAAAGGGAAAATTACTTAAACAACTCTGAAGATCAAATTAAAAAGATGTCTTTTAATGCTCCTTCGGAAAGGAGGGAGTAGGGAACAATTACAGACTCAGAGGGATCATGTCCTGGGATTTAATGACATTAAATTAAATATTTGAGATGAGTACTCATCTCAAATGATCTAAGCCCCAGAGCTCACTGTAACAGTATTGCCAAAAATGCACTAAGAGTTGTTAACCTAATCTTGTGAAGCTTCTCCGGTAACTTTGTACTGCAAACTCAGGCATACAAAACCTTTGCCAGACCAATTCTTGAATATAGCTTGTCTGCCTGGAATCCGCACTGTATATTGGATGCCAATACGATTGAGTGGCTCCAGTTTATGAGAAGAGTACTACATTACTCACAATAGAATACTTTATACCACCAGGCTCGAAACTTTGGGCTTGGACAATCTGGAACTACACTGCTTATGGTATGACTAAGCATAGCACACAAAATTATCTGCTCCTACCTGTCGATGACTATTTCAGCTGCAACCTCAATAATATATGGGCAAACAATAGATACAAACTTAAGGTAATCCACTCCAAACTCGATTGCAGAAAATACAACTTCAGCAACAGATTGGTCAATGCCTGGAATGCTCTACCCAACTCCGTTGTTACATCCTAAAACCTCCACAGCTTCAACCTTAAAATGTCTACTGTGGACCTCACCCCATTTCTAAGAGGTCCGTAAAGGGGGCGTGCATAAGTGCACTATCGTGCCTACTGTCCCTGTTCTACTGTCCACATTTATTTGGATTCATTTCTTTCGTTCATGTCCATGTTTATATTTATACCTGCTATCTTGTACATGTTTGACAAATAAAATGAAATAAAAAAGGACCTTTCCCATGTATCTGTACCAAGCAACCCCTAAAACAGCAAAATACTTAAAAGGATTCTCTCTTTACAATCTTAAAACCGGGAAGTTCATGATAAGATCTCAGGCAAATGGCCTGTAGATTAAACAGCCATCTAGATTAAAGATTAAAACTAAAAATTTGAAACCATGATAGAAAATATGGCTGCTGATGAGCATAAGGGATGTTCAGTGTTACCAACTTTAACAACTTTAAAATGGACTTCAACTCCCAGGATTCCCCAATCACCATGACATTGAGAAACACTGTCCTAGATGATTCCGTTTCAGCAACACTTTTTGGAAGCAAATATTTGCATGCACCAGCTACATCCATATATCCCTTTCCGTAAAATCAAATTTATATAGCTCAGGGCTTACATTTCTTATAGGTTACCTAAAGAGCATGCAACTATTATGATTTTCTCTTCCATGCATGAGTTATTGCTTTCAAATAACTTTGACACTATCAAAGTGATTGATTATTAAGCACATCTTAGGGAAGCAACTGCTGTTGTGTAACTAAGCATGTAGGATGTAGCTCCGTTGGCTTATTACTGTTACCCAGAATTATTTCGTAATATTTGGTTTAAATATGGTGAGCAAAAGAGAAGGAGGAAATACTTGCCTTTTCTCTTTATAACGCCTACCTCATTATCTCTTACTCCCCCCTCCCCAATTTAAAAGTCTAAAATGTCCAATATGAACCTCTTCTTCCAAGGGTTATCCTTTCCATGGACTCGCAGAACTAGAAGAGACCATTTACTCTTTGTAGCTCAAAGCCCCAATGAGTGCAGGAATCCAAATTAAAATATCCCCTCTAAATGGCCATGTAATTTGTGTGTGAATGCACTCAGTGAAGAGGAACCTACCACTTCTTGAATAATTGGTTCTTCTGCCATTTTCATTCCTTTCCTAATGAACCCTGACATGGAATCTACTTTTTCACAGCTGCCACACATGGATAACACTTCCACTGAACTGTCCATCTCAAAGTCAAAGTAGATTGTTTGCTCCACCATGCTTGAACGGTATGCCAAAATATGGTTCATTCATTCAATCTGGAAAATGAATTACTTTTTGTATTTCACTACCCTGCATAAAACTTAGCATCATCCACAAACCTGACAATAGATAATTTATGAATGAACGAGCCGTGATCCTAACACAAACCCATTTCTTAAAATTATAATAATCTCCTTATCAAACCCTTATGTGGCTACTGAAAAAGCTTTTCTTCTGAAGAATTAAACATTGCATTCCTATTGTAAGATGCAATCGTACATACCCATTTAGCTGGGAATGAGCCTTATCAGGGATGCAACTCTGCTTTTTATTAGTGTGTGTTACACAATAAAAATGGCTGGAGCTTCGATTGTACTATTATGGCTTCAATTTTTTTTGACTATTTTCTCCAGTTACCCCTTATACTTTATTAACTCAGCAAGGATTATTTTTGAGTACACATTATAGGAACGCATGATCAACATATGTAACTCAATACACAGTATAGTAACTTAAGAGTGCATATTCTGTAATACATACCTTTAGGACAAAACAATAATCAGTAGGAGACTTATACTTCATTTTGTATTGAATACCATAATAAACATTTACGTTCTCAAACTGTATGAAACAAGCCAAGTCTCGGGATGTCTAAAAAATTAAAAACACAACCTTTAGTTATTAGAATAATTATCTATTTATTCAAAAGGCCATCTCTTTCATGTTGGATAATTATTGATCTGAGAATTAATGGCAATGCAACTTTTGTAACACATTTTAAGTTAGGAGCGATGGGAAAGATGTGTAGCATTATTCTTCTTGAATAAGGACTTGAAGCAAATGATTCACCTTCCATTTGCAAAAATAAATCCACAATAAATATTACAATTCTGTTCCACAAAGGTGCCTAGAATTCATGGGGGGGAGGATGAAGAGACTTTTTCAGTAATTCATGCTGAAAGTTTATTTGTAGAATAGGTGAAAACTTCATCTGTCATTCTGTGCCAATTTGCACTCCTGCCAAATAGTTTCTACTATCACAAAATGCACATTGGCTGTTCTTAATGGGTTGCCATGGCAACAAAGTTTCCTAGCGAAGGATCTGTGGATGAAGTACCAATCTGAATGGAAATAGAACAGTGCCCAAAAAGACTTCCTGGCTCATGTATATATACAAATAGCCCTCAACTTACAATCACAATTGAACAATTTTGCTCCATTTTACGACCTTTCTTGCCAGAGTTGTTAAGTGAATATCTGCAATTGTTCCAGTTACTAAGCGAATCTGGCTTCCCCATTGACGTGGCTTGTCAGAAGGTCACGAAAGGGGATCCTGTGACCTCGGGACAATCGTCATAAATGTGAGTCAGTTGCCAAGTGCATGAATTTTGATCATGTGACCGTGGAGATCCTGCAATGGTCATGTGTGAAAGCTGTTCATAAGTCAATGCCATAGTAACTTTAAATGGCCACTAAGTGAACTGTTATAAATCAAAGACTACTGTAGTTTTTTTGTTTTTTTTTAATACTAGGAGCTTTTCAGAACTTAGTTCACAAGAATAGCTAAGAAAGGGTTCTTCCCTCTGCAGATACCTTTTAAAAAACACCAAGAATCCCTCTGACTTAGCACTTTCAAATTAAAAACTGCAGAGGTATCCACAGTGTTGAGGGCTCGGAAAGTCCTTGACATACGACCTGGTGGCTAGCAACAGGCCAGGCAGTGCCCTGATTGGCTAGGGCGCAGCATCGCCTGTTGCTAGCTGCTAGAGGCGCCCTCATTGGCTATGGTGCAGCATCATCGGTTGCTAGACGCTGAAAGCACGCCCATTGGTTATCCCTGCTTGACAGCCCGTTTAAATAGCTGTCAAGCAGGGGTTGGTGCTGAATCGCCTGTAAATAGTTCTGTAAATTAAACCTCTTGTTTCTGGCAGTTCCTGGCTCTTGTCTCGTCTTTCCGCCGATCCTCAAAACACAGGGCAGACAAAAAAACTCAAGATGTAGCTATAGG